GGAATTCACCATATGCCTAAATCCGTAGCTTGTTCCTAAAACTGCTGTCAGGAGCAAAACGGCTGTTCATTGGGCGTTTACGGATTAAAACGACGTTTTACCGTAGTTCGTGACAGAAAATGAAAATACTTTGATACATTTGGTGCATCGTCTTCTGTTTGTTTTTTTTGTGTGTAGGTAATGGAAAATGAAAATACTAATATCGGATTTCGGCCATGAATCCTGCAAAGTGCAAAGTGCAATTGCTTCCACAAGCAATAATATTCTTTCCACGGGCTGAAATATTCCTACTCTCATCCTTTTTTTTTGGTATCCCTACTACTGATGAGCCACATACTTGTACCATTTTTTATGTTTTACTTTAGGATAATTAACAACAAAAAAACAAATTAACTTGTCACGAACTGCAGCTAATAAACGCATAAACACATATCGGTCATCAAAACTACGTTTTAATTTACGTTTACGATAAACGGCGATTTCAGCGTTTTTGGTGAATTTGGGCCTAATGGGTAAATCAACAAGCATATTTCAAGCGGAACTTTATGCGATCGGAAGATTCGTGCAGTTCAACCGAAGTTATCGGAAACGAGAGATTAGGCAGTTTCTCGTGAGGATAATCAAGCATATTCGAGTATGCTGGATTATGTGATGTGTCAATTGTGTCACACTTCTCTCTCCCCCACGATCAAATTCTGGGATACTCAAGGATCAAGAACACTTTAAGGCGTATTTAAGCGAGAGTTTTAAGTTAAACGTGTAACCATCCTACGACTGGTTGTAGTATGTATCAGTGCATCTTTTTTTAATACACGAAAATGAGCATATGGGCAAAACAGCTGACTACGATTACCGAGACAGTTCTTTCCATTATAAATAGAGGATTGTTTTTCCCCATTTTGTCATGTTTTTTTGTGATTTTATATTAGAGATTTTTTGCAAAAAAAAAATCTTCACTTGTGCACAAAAGTGTAATTTTATTTATTTTTTGGCATGGGTTCCCCATGAAATTCAAAAATACCACAATCTATCGAAAATATTCGAAAATCTTCACTGGAAAAATAATATTGAAACTCGTAAACGCAAAATTTTGCAAAATTCAACAAACCCAAATAAACAACGATCATGGCGTCCTCTTTTAGACCCTTGTCAAATACACTCCACCTGTCATTTGGGTAACTATGACGTCATGAAGCGTAGTATGTGTAGTATTTAAAATCGACGAAAAAATTAACAATTAACGTACTAGCAATTAGCATTGCCTGAATCGCAAGCATTCCATCGAGGTCTGCGGGTTACGTCACAACTATAATCTGCTGGTAGCGACGTCACTCGCAAGCCCAGAATTGGATGGAGAGGAAACCTAATTTTGTTTCCTTACGGCCGGTGTTTTGGTCATACCAATGAAAGTGACTTCACCGATGAGTTATCTATGTTTGTGAATGGAAAATGATAATAACCGACAAAGAATGGTGGATCCATCGGTAAAATTTGATGAGAATAAAAACGCAGGGTATGCTTGATTATCGTCGCGAAAAATAGCTTTTTTTTATTTGATTCCAAAAATTTTTTGGCTTTCATGACGTCACCCGCGACCTATTTATCGCGTACAGTACAGAGCTGCCGGATTCTATTAGTCGAATCGAAATTCGTATCGAATTGTCAAAATAGCGATTGTATTTTTCGATACGTATTACACGTTACGTCCGGGGCCGAGATTCTAAAATCACGATTCGACACACGACTCGACAACGATACCGGCCTTGTCGTCTCGAAAGGTATAATTCCAATGAGATTTCTAACCTAGAATCGTCGGGAAAATCGTCTCGCTGTCGAGTCGTATGTCGAATCGTGATTTTAGAATCCCCGACCGGAGCTGTTGTATTCGATATCGAGTGTCATAACAGACAATTCGACTAGACTCGTAAAAAAAATCCGGCTGCAGGCAGAATACCAAGGATGATACACACACACTACTACCACAGGATAGCATATCCTCATAAGGCTTGTGTGGAACAAATCCATCTCTTCCCCCCATGCCAAATCACCAGTTGTGACGTAGACAGCATGTTATTTCTCGCCTTGACGTAGGCTGTTTGAACAGCTGACGACTTAGTCATGACGTCGGAAATGGTAACAAACCGATATGGCGGCGATTGCCAAAAACGAGGCCGATAAGCAATCCTGTAGGTGTGTAGGTATCATTCTTGATTGAATACAGGCGATGATGATGGTCAGGTTAGGCAACCTGACGTCATGAAATTAGAACTCTTGTAGAATTCTACTTGTCGTGATCTCAGCCAAGTAGAATTTTGTCAGAAAATTACCGAATATGGAAATTTCGAGAAAAACCTGATACAGCACACTTTCGATTGGATATATAGGAACTCATTTTTATTTGATCTGGTTTCCAAACTTTTGAGGGGGCTGATCGTTAAATTAGCCCCCTAGTAGGATTTTGTCGGAAAAATAAAATGTCCGAATATGAAGATTTTGAGAAAAACCTGATACAGCACAGTCTCCTCCAGTCAAGCACACTTCAGATTGAATAGGAATCCATTTTCTTTTGATATTTCCAAAATTCTGGGCCGTCAAGCTAGCCCTCCAGTAGAATTTTTCGGAAAATGACCGAATATGGAAATTTTGAGGAAAACCTGATATAGCACCAGTGTAGCATATACTTCGGATTGCATAAGAATCCTTTCTGTTTTGATCTGATTTCCAAAATTTTGGGGGGGCTGAGAGCCAAGTTACCCCTCCTCTTTTTTTTTCCTATAACTTTGGTATCGGACTGGTTCCAAATATCATCGGCACAGTAAAGCACACTTCGAGCGGTGTGGTTGCAGTTTTGTTAGAAAATTCGGATGTGCGGGGGCTAACTTGACGGAGCGGGTTGTTCCATTATGGGAAAAAATTGGTTGAAATTTGAATCCGTATAGTGAAGAGAGAAGATTATTTTTTCTGATGTGAAAATTTTGGATTAATTTTCTCTGCTATTCCATCCACAGACGCGTTTCGACCTATCAGGTTTCGTCAGTATGGTTAGGAAAGCGAAGAATACCAATCCAAGTTTAGTGCCGCTCGACGTATTATTTTTTCTGTTGAAAAACCCAAAATTGCAGAGATAGTCACAAAGTCGATTGTCCACCTGCCTTGTGCCGGAGAGGGTGAGATTTTTTATGGGGTGGAAGTTAAATTGAAGTAAAAGATAGAGTACGGCACATCGATTCATAGGATTCATAAAGCGTCACTTTGGGAGTAACTCTAGAGGGTTCCCAATCCCATTTCGATCCCAATGCGATGTTCTGATATTGTTCTAAGGGGTTACGGTTATAGTGCATCGTAGAGTCTGCACTCTAGGGTGACCATATTTTTTTCGTATGAATAATGCTGTACACATCTAACGTTTTGGGACAGGTGAGTGGAGAAAGCGCTAGATGCAAATTTTGTCGACTTTATAGCCCGCTTTAGTACCACTTAACAAAAAAAAAAAAAAGAAAGACATAACATAATAGGTCTGTTCGCATAAATCACAAACCAGTCGGAGTGAATTTCATTGGTTGAAAACCTTAATATTTGAAACCAAGGTTGTTTGAAAGAGGTAGGTTGGCTGATAACTTTTATGACGTCATCTGGATGCCTAAAATAATGCCAATCTCCATTAGATCTTCCTGATGGGGGATTCTCATCCTCTAGTCACAACCTATCGTCTCGACTATCCCATTGCCTTACTACAAGTGAGTCGGGAAGATAAGTTGCGACTAGAGGATGAGAATCCCCCCTCTGATGACGTCATCTGTTTACCATTACCAGACAACCTATTAACTTTAGAAACCTTGGGTTGAAATTAGTTTTCTGACTTGCTGACTATTTTCAACCAATGAAATTCGTGCTGACTGGTTTGTGATTGCTGCAGAAACAAACCTATTATGCTGTGTCTTCTTCTTAGCAGCGTGGAATAGAGAGAGATAAAAAAGGTAGTTATCATTAAAAAGAATACTCTGGGAGATGATGGCGTAAGGGCGGGTATTATAAAACTACTTTGAGAGTTAACTTGAAGTTAACTTCTGGAATTACATGTAATTCAAAAAGTTAACTTTAAGTTAACTGTCAAAGCAGTTTTATAATACCCGCCCTTAATGACGTAAATCGCAAATGTAGAAATGTCATTAGTTATTGACGGACAATTTTTCGTAATTTTTTTTAAAGATAGCTATTTATATAACAAGTACATAAAGTAAGGCTTTATTGTACGAATAATTTTATTGCCGAGCGAGCTTGCGAGCGAGGCTATTAAATAATAAGTCAATAAAGCCTGTTTATGTAAGCGTTATATACATGATTTTATGTACGATTACAACTGGTTTTTGTTAAAAATTAAAAAAAAAATAATGAAAAAAAAAAAAAAATTCGCGTAAATACCTGTTTCACCTTGTCAGGTAGTCCAGATAGGCAATAAACTAGCACTTTATTTTACTAGTACAATAAAGTGCTACTTTATTGACGCAAAACTGTTCTATAAATAGCACTTTATTGATCAATCGGACATAAAAAACTTAATTATGATCGGATCCGAATCGCTGTACGTTTGCTGTACAAAATTAAATGCTGGACAGACTTTGAAAATTCTGTACAATACAGCGAAATGCTGTACGTATGGTCACCCTACTGCACTCAATGGTATGTTCGGACACGGAACGGAAGATGGCAACTGGCCACGAGGACAACGTATAGTGCAGAGTGCAGTGCACCAAGACCAGTGAATTCGCGGGCTGCTCTTTATTCCAAGTACATGGGGTGAGTTCGGCTTGCTCACTCCGTGCACTCGGAGTGACTCCATTCGCACTCCAGCCGTTCGGGTTAAGGTTCTGGTATTGCTTTTTACGGTCTTAGGGTGACTCCATTAGCTCTGTTCACTCCACTCCAACTCCGCGCTGAATAGCCGAACTCACCGATGGTAAATACGTATGATGAACACTAACAACCCAATACATAACCTATAACCTATGATTATAAAAAAATATGTGAAAAACCGTGAACCGTTAAGTGAAAAACCACAAAACCAGTGGATTTTAGCCTTGAAACGAGGCCCAAACATAAATTGATAAATTCTTGGAATCCAAAATCCATCATTTTCAAATTCCTAGCCCAGCCGCGCACTTCTTTATCTTATCGTCAGAGGAAATCGCAAACTGCGGGAAAATCATATTATAATAAGGTACTTTTAAGTTGAGTCGAGAGTTAAGTTATTAGTTTGTCAAGTTTTAAATTACTCCAGGAACATGGCCATTTCAGGAGTTCAACTTTACCTTTCCGCAATGATATCTGTGTGTCTCGCTTCACCATTTATATTCGAAGATTCAATTCAGTATTGCATTTACCAGTTAGAGAATTGGCCGAATAAGCGGTTTGAAACAAATAGGTGAGTAAATAGGTCAATTTGACGATATTGATGTTTAACATTTTTATCTTATCCATTATCCATTCAATACTTGAAAAGCGAGTTCAGACTTCATTCATAACAAATAATCGTTAAGTGTTTTTTGGTTATACATAATAATAGTTATTTATGTATCAAGGGTACTAAGTAGATGATTATGCCCTGAGGGCCACAGCCTTACAAAGCCGAGGGCCTCTGGCCCGAGGGTTCGTAAGTCGCCCGAGGGTATAAATCTATTAGTACCCGTGGTGCATACTAGTTATTTATGTATCAAGGGTACTAAGTAGATGATAATGCCCTGAGGGCGACAGTCTTACAAAGTCGAGGGCCTCTGGCCCGAGGGTATATATATCTGTTAGTACCCGTGGTGCATACAAACTTTTATGTCATACCAGTTGGTTGTGAATAATAAATACCTGGGAAAAAAATGTCACTTCGCAAATTGTCATCAGTGTGCAAACATCATCATTTTTTGACAAAAATAATATGTTTATAAGCGTAAATTTATATTTTGTTAATAAAGAATAAGTTAATTGAAAACTGTTTTTTGCGTCTTTATGCCCGCGCGGGCCATAATGTGTACTTTATGCCCGCACGGGCATAAAGTAATGAATTATGTAGATGGTATCTAAGGTATAAAGACACAATAATGTATTGGTATGACATAATAGTTATTTATGTATCAAGGGTACTAAGTAGATGATTATGCCCTGAGGGCGACAGTCTTACAAAGCCGAGGGCCTCTGGCGGGTTCGTAAGTCGCCCGAGGGTATATATATCTATTAGTACCCATGGTGCATACAAAATTTTATGTCATACCAGTTGGTTGTGAATAATAAATACCTGGGAAAAAAGTGTATATGTTTATCAGCGTAAATTTATATTTTGTTAATAAAGAATAAGTTGATTGAAAACTGTTTTTTGCGTCTTTATGCCCGCGCGGGCCATAATGTGTACTTTATGCCCGCACGGGCATAAAGTAATGAATTATGTAGATGGTATCTAAGGTATAAAAACACAATAATGTATTGGTATGACATAATAGTAGATTATACCACGAGTCAATAATGATAGCTATTATTCCCGAGGATTATTACGAACTGAGCCGCGTTAGCGGCAAGGGAGTAACATTCCCAGGGAATAATAGCCATTATTGCGAGTAGTATACTCTACTTTATTTACGACAAATTAATTTATTTGAGATTTTCAATGAACAAATTTCATCCGTCTCATAATTTTCAATACAAATCCACAAGCACTACACGTTTGTGGAATAATGACCATTAATCCCGCTACTCGTCATTAATCCCTGGAGGGAAAAAAAAAAAAAAAAAAAAAATTGAAATTGAAATACCACGAGTCAATAATGATAGCTATTATTCCCGAGGTATATTTACGAACTGAGCCGCGTTAGCGGCGAGGGAGTAACATTCCGAGGGAATAATAGCCATTATTGCGAGTAGTATACTCTACTTTATTTACGACAAATTGATTTATTTGAAATTTTCTTTCCAAAAACTCTCTTTGTTCATCCATCTCAATACAAATACACAAGCACTACGCGTTTGACACTGACACTGACTTTGTTCTATACTGTTTCCATGGTACTACCTACTTATTTAATTCGAAACATTTTGTGATTGGTGTGCAAGCGGGATTAATGACCATTAATCCCTGAGGGAATAATAGATGTCATTAAACTGCCAAAAGCACAAATATAATACTTACATTATATGTCAGTCGTAAATAAAAATATTTATGTCGTACCAGTACATACATTATTGTTTTTTTATACCTTAGATACCATCTACATAATTCATCACTTTATGCCCGTGCGGGATAAAGTACACATTCTGGCCCGCGCGGGCATAATGTACCATTCTAAACATCAGGTTGACAATTACGCCGCAAACGACGTCGTTTGCGTGTACGCAAAGTTGCATCGATTTCAAATAAAGTCCCCCTGGTATGACATAAAAGTTTGTATGCACCACGGGTACTAATAGATATATACCCTCGGGCGACTTACGAACCCTCAGGCCAGAGGCCCTCGGCTTTGTAAGGCTGTCGCCCTCAGGGCATAATCATCTACTTAGTACCCTTGATACATAAATAACTATCAATGCAAGTAGTTTTTTTTTTTTTAAATCATTTATTTCTGACCTCAAATCAGTATACAAAGAATACTGGCACCGAGGCCTAGGATAGTAAATTTACAGACAAAATAACAAAAAATAAATTCTACATGATAAATGGGAAAAAAATAACATTATTGAGCTAAATCATTTTGGCATAAGTTAAATTCTTATAAAATACTTAGATATATCTGTTTGAGTCTGTCTTAGATAATTCCTCAGATAATTCTTAACTCGATTCTTATGGTTATGACACATTTTTGGAAGTTTTAAGTCTAGAATAGTCTTTGGTATCACATTTGTTGCTTGTATGCTTTGATAAAGTGGAGAATCTTGGCCCTTTTTTGTTCTGGCGTAGCTGTTTCTAAGAAAGTCCTTCGTTCGAGTATTATGTTCATGACAGACTTTACCATGCTTCAACTGATAATTGCTTTTAATAAGCTTGTTTTGGACACAATAAATAATTCGCTCTTCGAATTTCTTACAATAAATAAGCTTGACTTGTTCAAAAATTTTTTGTTACTATTGTTAAAAACGGATATTCTTTGTATATGGTTTCACTGGGTGTGCAATATTCCATAGGAAAAAGTGATTTTATAGCCTTATTTTGGACTTGTTGTAGTTTTGTTAAAAGGTGTTTGCTTGCATTTCCCCAACAGGGTAAAAGATATCTAAAGTGAGGTTCAAATCAAATCAAATCAAAATATGCTTTATTGTTTTAAACAAAGTAATGTTGTAAACAAAGCTGAAAAAGGTACGTAATAAAATAAAAAAAATAAATGAATAAATTCAGAACCTACAAAATCAAAAATAGAATAAAGTGTACTTATATGACTTGGTTTACGTAGTCTAAATATATATGAATCATTAAATTGCATAATTATAAAATTGAAACACAAACAGTAAACAGTTAATAAAATAATACAAAATCTTACATTTAAAAATAAAGCAGTACATTTACAATTTAACGTCATAGTAAAAAAAAACACACAGCACACAGAACAGTAAAAAGTATCCATAAGCACACCTTTTTTTGCTTAAATCATGGTTAAAATCTTTCATTGAAGTATTCTTGTATATCATAATAGGCCCTCGCAACGAGCAACTTTTTTACCTCCCTCCTAAATCTCCTTTCCTCATAAATCTCTCTAATACTGACAGGCAAATGGTTGAAGAGTTGACGTCCATTAAAAACAATAGAGTCATGTACTTGGGAGGTTCTGGGAACAGGTAACAACATTTTATATGTTTGCCTGGTGGCATAAGATGACGAACCTTGTTGGTTCAATGTGTTTCTATACTTTTTATGAATTAGAGATACTGTTTCAAGAATAAACAAAGATGGTAATGTTAAAATATTGTTAGCAACAAAAAGCGGTTTGCATGAATCTCTCAAATTGGCCCTGTTCATGTATCTGATTGCTCTTTTTTGCAAAATGAATACTGTATGCATTAGCTGTTTAGCACAAGAACCCCAAAAACATATTCCATAACGTTCTATGAAACTATTATACAGGGTGGTCCATTTAACTTGAGACAGTCTAATATCTCGAAAACGGTGCGTTTTTGAAAAAAAAAGTTCAAATAAAAGTTACATGGTATCATGTAGGAAACAAAATGGCTGTACTGATTTTTGACTTTGACAACGTTTTCAAGGTTATTTCAAGGTCAACTCTTTTTTTTCAATGGAAATATATTTTTTTATTACAGAATCTTATTCTACAGGAAAAAACAAGTAACTTTCACTTAAAGCATTTTTCGATCCGGTTTCAATTTAAGCTGATAAAAAAGAACGAATAATTTTTTTTTTCTCCTCACAAAATCGAAAAGTAGAGAAAGGTTACCAAAAATACCTCAAAAAATATAACAATTGATCAAATTGACGACCGCCAACTTCAACACACTTGTTAATTCGCTGTAAAAAGCTTTCATGGCACCAAATTACAGTTTCTTTACCGACAGCTCTAAGCATTTCTTATGTGTTCCATCATATTATCCGGTGTTGTGGGAACCTCTTGATAAACTGTGTGTTTGATTTTTAAAGTGAATTGACAAGTGTGTTGAAGTTGGCGATCATCATTTTGATCAATTGTTATAGTTTTTGAGGTATTTTTGGTAACCTTTCTCTACTGTTCGATTTTGTGAGGAGAAAACAAAAAAAATATTCGTTCTTTTTTATCAGCTTAAATTGAAACCGGATCGAAAAATGCTTCAAGTAAAAGTTACTTGTTTTTTTCTGTAGAATAAGATTCTGTAATAAAAAAATATATTTCCATTGGAAAAAAAGAGTTGACCTTGAAATAACCTTGAAAACGTTGTCAAAGTCAAAAATCAGTACCGCCATTTTGTTTCCTACATGATACCATGTAACTTTTATTTGAACTTTTTTTTTCAAAAACGCACCGTTTTCGAGATATTAGACTGTCTCAAGTTAAATGGACCACCCTGTATAGCATATGCTTGGTTTTGTTGTTAAGTTGATGAGAACACCTTTTTATTAGTCCTATAATCGGCGCTACCTTTTTTATAATACTGTCTATATGTTCATTCCAGGTTAATTTATTTGTTATTGTTAGTCCAAGATATCGGGTCTTCAAAAAAAAAAAACCAATCAAAGATTGCTATGGTTTTTTGAAAGTATGTCTTAGCTATATTTCTCTTTAATTTTGTCAATGAAGTTTAATGTCAAAATGTCATGTCAAAAATCCTGACCAATAAAGAAACAATAATGCGACATACGTTTTCGTAATCAAAGCAATCTTCGATTGGTTTTTTTTTTTGAAGACCCGATATTTATACTTTGTCACTTCTAGCAGCACTTTGGTATTTAGCTTCAGTACAGGATTG